ACGATATGAATTGGTGAATCATAATGTGATGAACTATGATATGACATGATAAAATGTGGTACCATATGACAGACTAGAATATAACATACTAGGATATAGCACACTATACTAGAACGTATCATCTACTAGGATATAGTATAAAGTTGTATGAAAATATAATAGATTCTGCTATGTTATGATATGATATGAAGCAAAATAATACAATGTCATACAACATCATCAAATATCAGATACAATCATCTAATATCATATACTAAAATATAATATCATGCAATATCATATAATACATTATATACATATATACGTATACGCAGCACCCCCCAGATGCGAATAAGAGTGAGGGGGCGGTAAGGACATCGGCAGTTTGCGAGACTCTGGAGAAGCCCGCCGCAGGCGCCAAAGTTTCACAAATTACACAACGAGCCCGCCGCAGGCGCCGATTCCTTGTCAAATCAATGTGGGTAGGTCGCGGATGGGTCGCGGGTGGGTCGCAAATGGGTCGCGGGTGGGTCGCGGGTGAGTCGCTGTTGGGTCGCGGGTGGGTCGCGGGTCGCGGGTGGGTCGCAGGTGGGTCCCGGGGTGGGTCGCGGGTGGGTCGCAAATGGGTCGCGGGTGGGTCGCGGGTGGGTCGCGGGTGGGTCGCGGGGTGGGTCGCGGGTGGGTCGCGGGGTGGGTCGCCGGTAAGTTGCGGGTTGGTCGCGGGTTGGTCGCAGGATGGGTCGCCGCGGGTGGGTCGCGGGTTGGGTCGTGGGTGGGTCGCGGGGGGGGTCGCGGCGTGGGTCCTGGGGTGGGTCGCGGGGTGGGTCGCGGGTGGGACGACGACAACAAATAAACAAACAAGCAACAGCAACAACAACGCAACAAGCAGAATCCTCACCACGGATCCCACCTTCAACCACGCACGCACCCAGGGACAATGAATGACCGTTCGACCCCCTCACTATATATATATATATATATATATATAGCCGTGTATCTGTGTGGGTGTCTGGGTGTGGATGTGTGCGTGTGTCCATTCAACTCTGTCTCTCTCTCTCTCTCTATCTCTGTCTCTCTCTCTCTCTCTCTTGCTATCTCTCTCTCTCTCTGTTTCTCTCTCTCTGTCTCTTTCTCCTTGTCTCGCTACCCCTCCTGCCTCGATGCGGAGAAGCATGTAAACGTGTGTACAAACACATGTGTATCCATACATATATGCAAGTGGATACATTCATACACATATGTCTATGTATGTACAAGTGTATGTGTATGCGTATGCATCGGAAGTGAGGGGGTGAGATCGAAGTGGAACGGAGAGCCCCCCTACCGGAAAATCGGTTTCGGTTTCGTGTTCGTGCATGCCGCGCGTGCGGGCGAGGCGAAGCTGCGTGGGCGGGCGAGAAGAAAGTCTCCTCCGGCTGAAGCGCGGCCGGACCAAATGATTCCTCTCCGGGGGCCGGTGCCGCGCGGTGTCCCGCCGGTGTCCCGCCGGTGTCCCGCCTCCGGCTGAGGCGAGGCCGGACCAAATGTTTCCTTTCCGGGGGCCAGTGCCGCGCGGTGTCCCGCGGGTGTCCCGCCGGTGTCCCGTCGGTGTCCCGATGATGATGATGATGATGATGATGATGATGATGATGATGACGATGATGTTGACGATGATAATGATGATGATGATGATGATGATGATGATGATGATGATGGTGGTGATGATGATGGTGCCCCGATGATGATTATGATGATGATGATGATGATGTTGACGATGTTGATGATGATGATGATGATGATGATCGTAATGATGATGGCCATGGTGGTGATGATAATGGTGTCCCGATGATGATGATGATGATGATGATGTTGATGATGCTGATGTTGCTGATGATGATGATGATGCTGTCCCGATGATGATGGTGATGTTGATGATCCTGATGATGATGATGATGAGATGATGATGATGATGATGATGCTGATGATGATGAAGATGATGATGAAGATGATGATGATGGTGTCCCGATGATGATGGTGATGATGAGGTTGATGACGATGCTGTTGATGATGATGATGATGGTGATGATGATGGGGTCCCAATGATGAAGATGTTGATGATAATAATGGTGACGATGATGGTGTCCCGATGATGATGATTATGATGATGTTAATGATGAGGATGATGATGAGATGATGATGATGATGATTTTGATGATGGTGGCCCGATGATGATGATGATGATGCTGATGTTGATGATGATGATGGTATCCCAATGATGATGATAATGATGATGATGGTGATGATGATGGTCACGATGATGATGATGTTGATGATGATGATGTTGCTGATGATGACGGTGTCCCGATGATCATGATGATGTTTATGATATTGTTCATGATGATGATGAGATGATGAGATGATGAGATGATGATGATGATGATGATGATGATGATGATGGTGTTCCGATACTGATGCGAATGGTGTCCCGATGATGATGATGTTGGTGATGGTGATGGTGACGATGATGGTGTCCCGATGATGATGATGGTGATGATGATGATGGTGATGAGGTGATGATGATGATGATGATGATGGTGTCCCGATGATGGTGATGATGTTGATGACGTTGATGACGATGATGTTGATGATGATGACGTTGATTGTGAGATCGATTGTGATATCGATAGTGAGATCGATAGTGAGACCGAATGTGAGATCGATTGTGAGATCGATAATGAGATCGATCGTGAGATCGATTGTGAGATCGATAGACAGATCGATTGTGAGATCGATCGCAAGAAATAGATCGAGTGAGATCGATTGTGAGATCGATCGAGTAAGATCGATCGAGCGGGACCGATAGTGAGATCGATAGTGAGATCGATAGTGAGACCGATCGAGTGAGACGTTGGTTTCTCCCCCCCCCCGAACCTCCTTATCACCCGAAAGGTGGTCGTATAGGTATGTGTATGTGCACGTGTATGTGCATGTGAATGTAGATGTGGATGTGAATGCGTATGTGTATGTGTATGGGTACGCGTATGTGCATGTGCATGTGTATGTGTGTATGTGCACGCAAGCTATGTAAACATATACATACTTACACACACCCATACATACATACATACATACATACATACATGCATACATACATACATACATGCCTGCACGCATACATACATACATACATGCATGCATACATATATGCATGCATACATACATACAGACATACACACATACATGCTAAAAACCTACATACATACATACATACATGCATACATACATACATACAAACATACATGCATACATACATGCGAACACATGCATGTATGCATGCATACATGTATACATACATGCATGCATGCATACATACATACATACATAAATACATACGTACATACATACACACATACACACATACATACAAACATACGTACATACATATATACCTACATACAAATATACATATATGCACGCAGACATGTATACATGCATCCATACATGCATTCGTTCACGCATACGTACATAATACATACATACATGCATATGCATATACATACACACATACGTACATGCATATATACATATATATATATATACATACATACATACATACATACATACATACATGCGTGCGTGCATGCATGCATGCATGCATGCATGCATACATACTTACATACATGTTCAGGGCGGCGGCACCCCCGGTTGGTATTCAAGCCCAACCGATCAGCCGATCAGCCGATCAGCCGATCAGTCTTATCGGCTGATAGGCTGATCGGCCGCTGATCGGCTGATCGGCTGATCAGCTGCTCGGCTGTTGATCGGCTGATCGGATGATCGGCTGATCGGCTGATCGGCACCTTATCGGGGGTCTGCTAACACGGGTCAATCCAAACCCGGGTCAGCAGGAAACCAAAAAACTGCAATGCAAGAAACAAAAATGCAACGCAGGGCTTCGAAAACCCGGGTCAGCCAATAGGCGCGGCCGCCTCGCGGCCACGAGCGGCTCGCTAACCCGGGTCAGCCAGAGGGGGTATTCGCAGGATCCTGCAGGATCTGGCGCCCTGGCTGACCCCCGTTTGCATTGACCCCCGTCTCAAGGCTCCCGACCTTCTCTGCTGATCGGCTTACCGGCTGATCGGCTGCTCGGCTGCTCGACCACCTTAATGCACTTCAAGCTCCCTCTCTTCCCCCTCCTCCTCCTCCTCCTCCTCGTCCTCCTCCTCCTCCTCCTCCTCCTCCTCCTCCTCCTCCTCCTCCTCCTCCTTCTCGCCCTTTTCCTCTTGCTCCTCCTCCTCCTCCTCCTCCTCCTCCGCCTCCGTCTCCTCGTATGTCTCGTCGTCATTGTGTTCCTTCTCCTCCTCCTCCTCCTCCTCCTCATCCTCCTCCTCCTCCTCCTCCTCGTCCCTGCCTCCTCTCGCGGGCTGCCGGCGCCACGCGCGAGCTCGGATCCCGGGCCCCATGCCCCGCCGCCAGGTCGTCCTCGTTCTCGGACTCTGGTAAACGCTCTCCCCATCACAACGCTACTGTTTCGACCTGCGTCGTCGTCGTCGTCGTCCTTCTCCTCCTCCTCCTCATCATCATCCTCCTCTTCCTCCTTCCACTGTTTCTGGGAGCACCCCTACACAAACGGCTCCATACTACCCAACATGTTTCAAAGCATCGCGCCCCGTTTGCCCTGAGACCTCAGTGCTTGGGACGTTTTGCATTCATAGCAGGCGCGGGCCAAAGGACCGAACAAGGCTCGACAAGAGCACCCACGCACGAAACTGTTGAACAAACAATCCCACCAGCCCTCCGAGCGTAAGTGGTTTCACGGATTTTTGTTTTCTCTCTTTCCACAATCCCTCCTTCCCCTGTTCTGGGTCCCCCATTCCCTCCTCCAGCATCCTGCCTCCCTGTCCCCCGCCCTGGCCACCCGCGCGCGCTGGCCCAACCAGCAACCCCAGGTCCCCGATGGGCCTCCCTGCGAAGGCCTTTCTGCAGACCCCCATTGAGAACCCCGGGGGGGGAGGCAGGGGCGCACGCGCGCGCGAGGGCCAACCTGCTTCAGGACCTCCTGGTACTGGACGCAAGGCACCTCCACCACGCGCTCCTGCAGGTGCACCTCGGGCACCTCTCCGACGAAGGGGGGGGACGGGCAGGCCAGGAGCGGGCGGGCGGCAGCGGGCGGCGAGAGCGTGCCCGTGGCCACGCTCCCGCAATCTTCGTGAAAACGTGGGACCCGGGCTACGGGGGGCAACGCCCACGATGACCGATGATGGTGTTGCTGACGGCGAAGAGGATGGTTGGGATGCTGTTGCTGCTGCTGCTGATGTTGCTGCTGCTGTTGTTGCTGCTGATAACGAAGCTGATGATATTGCTGATGATGCTGCTGATGATGTTGCTGATGGTGATGATGATGATGGTGATGATGATGATGTTGATGAGGATGATGATGATGATGATGATGCTGATGGCGGTGGCGATGATGACGATGATGCTGATGATGATGATGATGACGATGATGGTGATGATGATGATCATGGTGATGATCCCCGCGGCTGAAGGGAACAGGAGTTCCTAGTTCGCACTGCCCCTCGGACCGAGGCACTGCCCTTTGGCCCTGCGGAGGCAACGCACGGTCTTGAGGATGGATGATTGCATGAATGAATGAATGTATGAACGATGGCGATGGTTGTGATGATGGTGGTGATGATGATGGCGGTGGCGCCCATGATGATGAGGAAGAGGAGGAGGAGGAGGCGGAGGCGAGCATGACGATGATGATGGTGATGATGATCCGCTGGTGAACCCTACCCACGATTTCTGAGGAGGAGGGCGGGGTTCACTCCTTCCGGCAGCTCCCGAGCAAAGTGCACCCTACCTCCCCCCTGAGAAATCGCGGGGTGCAGGCGTGAGTTCGCACGTGGCCCTTTTGGGCTTGCTTGGCGTTCTCGGGCGGCTGCTTGAGGGCGTCGCGGCACTCCACCGCGACGCCCCCGCCGATCCTCGAGACCTTGGCGGGCGTCGCTACAACTGCCCCCTTTTCCCAGGGCGCCTCCAAGAGTCGCTCCAAAACGGAGCGAAAACTGGAGGCGCCTTGGGGCGGGGGCAATCGTGGCAACCGCCGACCTTGACGCGCGAGTAGTGCGCAGGCACCTCGGAGTGCACGCAGACCAGGACGTACTGGGCCATTTCGATCCTGTCGGCCCAGCGTTTCTGCTCCTCGGGCTGCTGGGCGGCGGGTTCGTCCTCGCCCTGGCCCTCTCGATCCCAAGCGACGGCCGCGGCCTCGAGGACGCCCGCGCGCTGGTCGATCTAGCCCAGCAGCGCGGGCACTGTGCCCAGCTCGAGGGCGTCGCCCTTGACGATCTGCTCGCCGTTCATGATCGCGCACTGCTTGGCGAGCTCAATGCGGCGACCCAGTCTGGTCTGGCGCCAATCGGGCACGCGCGGCCTGGGGAACTTGCGGCCCTGCTCGATCCTGACCTGTGGCGCTCGGGATTCACAGGCGCTCGTTAGTTTCCGCCTGCTTCCGCTTCGCGTCGCCTCCGCCTGCCTCCGCCAGCTGTCCGCCAACTCCCGCGACTTCCGCCGTCGCCCCCGCCGTTTCCGCCGGCTTCCGCTTGCTTCCGCCGCCTCAGTCGGAAGCGGGCGGAAGCTATATAACGAGCGCCCGCGAGCCCCCCTGCCTCGCTGCTCTCAATCTGGAAGATCGCCGCGGCCCCCACCTCGAGGACGCGCAGGCGGCGCGCGCCCTCGGCGCCCAGGACTCGCCAGACGCCCCGCGCCCTTCCGCGCCTGCCCTCGTGGACGCCCTCTTCGGCGACGCGCGCCACCTTACCGTGCCAGGGGGGCCCCTCGCAAGCCTCGAGGCCTGCATTATTATTGGCCTTGTCCTTTTTCGTGGCGGTCTTCTCCGCTTGCCTCTTCTGCTTGAACATCATGGAGAAGCTCGCCTGCGCCTTCGGCGGCCTGCCTGCGAGCCCCACCTCGGCCGCGCCTCGGCCCAGGTGCTCGCGCGAGGCCTCGCCGCCAGTCTTGACCTTCTCGCGCTGCCACTTGCGCGCGTGCTTGCCCGGGAACTGCCCCGCGAACTTGGACGCCCACCTGTTCTTGCGATGATTTGTCCGTTTCAGCTTGATCCTGTTCTCGAGGGCGCGCGGGAGCTGGATATCCGCGATCCGCTCCTGGCGTTCTGAGCATGCCCTTCTGCTCGCCGGCGAGCTCGAGGCCCAGTTCCCGGAACTCCAGGAGGCAGGGGTTCTCGTCCTGCTCGCAGCCCCCGGATCGCGGCCCCGAGCTGGCCGCGGTCGCGGGCGCCCGGCCCCTGCCAGAAGCTCGCGACGTCGGGGGCCACGGGCGCGCGGATCACATTCTGAAACCACGCTCGGAGCGCCACTGCCTCGGCACACCGGCTCGAGAGGCACGTCTGCGAACGCGAGACTCTGGCCGCGCTCCTGCTCGATGAAGTCGACGGCCCAGGAGGCGACCAGCTCGTCCGCCCAGGCCCAGGGCTGCCCTCACAGTCGATGGCCTCGAAGACTTCCGCGCGGCCCTCCTCCGAGAACTCGAGCAGAGCGCTGCGCCAGCCCTTGAGGAATGCCCCTGGGGGCTCGAATGCTCGGAAGCGCTCCGCCTCGCCATCGCTCCGCTCGCAGGCGGCGTCGCGCCGCCGGGCGCCCTCCTCGATGTTCACGTCGCACTCGGCAGTGCCTTGCGCAGGGGGCAAGGAGCACGCTGCGCTTCTTGGCGGACTTGGGCCCCCCGCTCGGGTCGAACCAGCCCTCGACCGCGGAGATGCTGATGAGGGCGATCCTGCACTTGCCCCCTGCGCTCGAGTGGGCCTGCCCCACTTGCGCCTTGCGGTCGGGGCGCTGTGCCAAGTGCTCGGCCTTCTCCGCCTCGAAGGCTGCACTGGCCTCGTCGGACTGCGTCTGGCGGTGCTTCTCGCGGAGGTTCTCGATGAGTTTCTTGGCGCCTGCGGCGTGGACATCGCTCTCGTGAATGCACGCGCCCTCCTCGCCCTGGAGCTCGAGCCAGAGCGCGGCGGCGTCGACGACGCCCACGCTCGCGACGGCCCTCTGCCGGGCGAAGGTCTCGGGGCCCCCGACGAAGAGGCCGAGGTCCTCGGAGCCGCCCCTCGCCACCAGGTGCACAAACCTAGTAGTAGTAGTAGTAGTAGTAGTAGTAGTAGTAGTAGTAGTAATAGTAGTAGTAGTAGTAGAAGTTGTAGTAGTAGTAGTAGTAGTAATAATAGTTTCTCGTTAGTAGTTGTGGCGGTGGTAGTACTACGTCTGATAGAAATAATAGTAATAGTTCCTAATAGTAGTAACTGGTAGTAGTAATAGTTACTAGAAGAGGTAGTTACTAGTAGTAGTACTAGTAGTAGTAGTAGTAGTAGTAGTAGTAGTAGCAGTAGTAGTAATAGTAGTAGTAGTAGTAGTAGTAGTAGTTATAATTACTAACAGTAGTAATATTTACGAATAGTAGTTACTAGTAGTAGTAGTTACTAGTAGTAGATCGGCATTACCAGTAGTAGTTACGAGTAATGAAACTTACTAGAAGTAGTAGTAGTAGTAGTAGTAGTAGTAGTAGTAGTAGCACTAGTAGTCGTAGTTACTTATAGTAGTAGCACTAATAAACAACAGTGGTAGTACTAAGAGTAGTAGTAATAGTAAGTACTAGTAGTAGTAGTTACTACTAGTAGCAGTAGTAGTAGTAGTAGTAGTAGTAGTAGTAGACGCCCGCTCGCGTTCAGTCTCGGGAAGGCGAACTCGCCCACCCACTGCATTTCCTCCCTGGGCGTCTGGTTGATCTGGAAGGTACTCAGGCGCTTGTTCGCCCTCTTGAGGATCTCGGCGCTGTAGCTCTTGCGGCCGACCTCCTGCGGGCGGGGCTGCTCGTCCTACTCGAACCAGCTCGTAGCGCAGCCGCGCCAGGATAATCTTCTTCCTGGCCTCGCGGCCGCGCTCGCGCCCTCGCTCGAACCAGCACTTCACGCGGCGCGCGATGCCCTCAAGCGGGCGCTAGGCGGTGACCACACCGGGGATCTCGCGGGACAGCCCGGCGCCTCGGCCCCTGGCCTGCTTGCGGCGGTTCGGGCGGGCGCAACCGCGGGCTCGGAGGCCGTTCTTGCCGGGCCCCCTCGCGGCAACCTTCTTCTCGAGAGTAGCTCGAAGGCCGCGCCACCGGGCAACCACGTCGCAGCTCCAGCGCCGCTCGTCCTGCAGCTTGCCCTTCGCTGAGGCGGGCAGTTGGGCGACGTTCTTCACGTCGTGCTCGCCCGCGTGCTTGATCCAGTCAAGGCGGGTCTGGAGCTTGGACTGCGCTGAAGGGTCTCGTCGCAGCGCGGGCGCAGCTCGGGGCTTCCGCGCCCCCCTGCAGTCCGGCATGCTCTCGGCGCGCGGCCGCGGCCGCGAATCGCTCCTGAAGGGGGGGGGGGCGGGGGGGGCGGATAGCAAGGGTGCGCGGAAAAGATGCAAGGCCCTTGGAAGGCCCAGAGATGGGCCGAAGGGGCAAGGATGCAAGGGCGGCTAACTAGCCTCGAAAAGATTGCTCATCCTGACTACGCGGGCTGACTGCAGTAGCAGCAGCAGCAGCAGCAGTAGGAGTAGGAGCACTAGCAGGAAGGGGGGGGGGAGGGCGGGAGAAGGAAGAGAACAGAGGACGGCCCCGGGATCGATTTTCAAAAATTCGCTGGGTTCGGGGCCTCTGGCTTTTTAAATGTAAAAACTGTTTCTCTAATCGTTGTATAGGGGTGTCCATGTATAACAAAACACCAGGGGTAAAAAACTTCGGGCCACGAGGGAAGGGGAGAGAAGGAGAAGGAGAAGGAGAAGGAGGAGGGAGAGGAGAAAGAGGAAAAGGATGAGGAGGAAAAAAATCCTGCTCGGCCGTTCCAGCCTCGAGCCTTTTGGCCTCGAGTTCCTTGTAGAAGCTCGCAGCAGACTCGGCCGTCTCGCGGGGCGAGGTTCTCAGCTGCCCGCGCGAGCTCCGGGCCAGGGGCGGCGAGGTCGCCGGACCCCGGAGGCTCGACAAGCGCGTCTGCTTCGTCGGCGCGGCCATCGGGGTCTCGCTGCAAAGCTGCACTAGCTCGAACGCAAATCTTCGAGCCAACGTGGCTACGGAAAT